CCGCCTCACCAGTTCTCGGTTGTGAACGCTCTGGCAGATGACAGTAGTCAATCAGTGATGGAGAAAGGTCAGGGGAGCTTTGCTATGAAATAATGATGAATGATTCTTTGAAATGTGTTTAATAGAAACTCAAAAACCGCCGATCTGACTCCAAATCGCAAAATCTGAATGAAAACCGCTCAATTTGCGGTAAACCGCCCTATCTGGCAACACTGCAGGCCAGTTTGTTGATTGACGTGTGATGTAGCCACTCGGGTATGAGCAAAAATTTGAAACCCTGTCGCTCTCCGCCACAAAGACCAATCACCGTGCGCAATGGGCGGGGCGTAGCGCCGTCAATCACGCAGGAAGTATAAGGGTTTGAATAGGGAGGGAGGGGGAGAATCCAATCCGGTTTGAGCTAGTTTTCCTTCCAATGGAGCAGTAACGTCTCGCTGCACCGAGTCTCTCTGTATTGGCACAGCTTTATCCAGAATATACCACTGTTTCTTTCTGTATTTAGTACCGTTCGGCGCTTTTTTCCTTTCTTTTTAAATTTATAAAGCTCTCCACACAATGCCTAAAAGGAGCAAAGTGAGTAGACGAACATCTTTCATCCGTTGAGTAATACGGTATTTATAACAGTTGTAATGGTGAAGCTGTAACATGTTGGTCCAGAGGCAGAGCTGCAAACGGCCGTGTTGTGCTCCGAGTGAAGCTGTGCCTGCAGGCGGTAGCTGGTCGGAGTGCACGGCTGCTCTGGCGATCATCTTTGTGCCAGGTGGTTCCTCGCCATTGCTTTTGTTGCTTCAGACACGACTAAAATAGACATGTGCCTCATCGTACGTGTCCATGGGACAAACATTTTCCGTCTTGTGTCGACACGAGGCTGCTCCGTGAAGTTGGCGGAATATTGATCATTTCCTTCAGTCGTCCTGGTTGAGACAAGTTTCTCGGTCTTAACGTCGTCGTAGATTAAGAACTCGTTTACTGGAGGGCGTTAACTAGTTGTTCACTGTAAGAGTAACTAAAGCGCCGTTAATTTTACCTGAGTGTGTCGGTTCGGTGTGTTGTGAACATGGTTCGTGTGTTTAAAGTGTAATGGCTGTTCGGCGGTCGTCGTGTACAGTTGGAGGTTGTGTAATGGCGAGCCTCCGTCACACTGGTGCTGTTGCTGGGCTCCCAGTGTGTTCTGCTCGCAGGCCGACGGCCGCGCGCGTCTGTGACTCCTTAAATTTGTGGCGGGAACTCCGTCGACGCTGGCATTTATTGCCAGTGAACGGATGGGGGCGGGGTTTCCCCATCCCTTCCGGAATTAGACTGTGGGCGTGTCACGAGCGGGAGAGCTCCACCACGTGACGTAGTTTAAACCACACGCCTGATTCAGGCTGAATGAATCTGCTGGTGTCGATACTTTGAAGCACAACTTTTCAAGGAGCAGCTTTGAACAAAATGTGATTCCTCAGGTCATTTCATCTTTCAAGTGGGATCTACTGAGAAGTGTGTATTGGTAATTGTTCTACTGAGAAGTGTGTATTGGTAATTGTTCTACTGAGAAGTGTGTATTGGTAATTGTTCTACTGAGAAGTGTGTATTGGTAATTGTTAACGTATTTGGCTACAACTCACAGAGGATAACAATCGGACACGTTGGAGAAATGTATTCAAGGCGCATCTAATAACTTTGGTATTTCAGGGGGAGACTTGAACGTGATACCCGATCACAACATGGACTGTTGGCCCCCACGCAGCTCTTCTGCAGTGAATGTAAACCTGAAACTTGTCGATGTGTGGAGGCACTGACGCAGTAACAAAAGTTCCACCTGGAAATCACAACTAGATTTTTGGTTGATTTCCGATAATCTGAACATTGATAAAACGTCAGTTAATATTATTACAACAGTGCAGTCTCCGTATTCATCCCTGTGCACTCTGCTTCTACTAAGGTTTATACACATTCTTATTGGAAACTGTTCACTGCTGAAACATGAGCCAGTTAAATCAAATATAAAAGATTAATGGCAGAAACTGGGAACTATTGAAACTTAAAGTTGCTCACAGGGACACATAGAGACAAACAACCATTCACTCTCTCACTCACACCTAGGGACAATTTAGAGTTACCAATCAGCCTAACATGCATGTTTTTGGTCTGTGGGAGGAAACTGGAGTACCCGGAGAAAACCCACGCATGCACGGAGAGAACATGCAAACTCCACCCAGAAAGGCCCCTGGACCGGGATTTGAACCAGGGACCTGCTCGCTGAGAGGCAGCAGCTCTACCAGTTGCACCACCGTGCTGCCCTGTTTTAAATCAATTTATTTTATAATTGAATAATCCAAGCATTCTTTAAATATCTTGTTTTTAATTACCACAGATCATTCATTTATTTTTTAATTTCCTACTTTATGAACAAAAATACTTTTTATATTACTACACATGGGTCATCCAAGTGTCATTTAAAATTAAAAGTCTTAATACTGTCATAAAACTTTGTTTCAGGTAATTACTTGAGCAGTGAACGGGGTCAAACAGTTCTTTATGTAATATTTGTTTGTCATTTTGTCACACACCTCCTGATAACTGGTAACAGCTACTGAACTGGACGTTATCTGGTTTAACAGGTGTAAACTGGTGACATGTGAGCAACAAAATAAAACAATTGAACGCATCACTCAAACTGCCACGTTAATATTTACATGCCTGGCAAACGACCACGGAGTGTTTGTGCTCGTTGCACACGGCTGGCCCCTGGGACCAGTTGACACTGGGCAGAGCTGCTTTGGCCCTCCTGTCTCGTTCAGTTCAGTTTATAAAGCTCCAAGTCACAACAAGCTGCCTCTGGGACGTTACAGAACATTCACGTAAAACACAATTAGTAAAGTTCTCTGAGGAATCAGCAGACAAGATGAAAAATGCATGCGTGTTGTTTCTGACACGTGTGTAAACTTGATGTAGAATTACAAAAGCTGAAAAATAAAAATGATGATTTGTGCTGAACAAAAACAAGATATTTACTGCATATTTGGAAAAGTAAATGATAAAATTAATTTATTTCAAAACGATATCACAGAAACACTCGACCACGCATGAAGAAACCTGGAAAATGAATGCGGGTCGTTTTTGACCCATTTCGTGCATTAGAAGGGAAGTGATACAAAAAGGGTTTTTATTAACAAAGTAATAAAGAAAAAATAAAATAAGGATGTCTGAAGATCAAAAACAAGTTAATTGAGGAATACCTTGAATTACGGCTGGGCCATATCATCTCGTTCACGATAATACCAGTAAAAAAAAAAAGCTTGCCCAGGCAAAAAAATGATATGATGATATGCTAATTTCATGACTAATACGTCAGGACGCCCCGCCCCTTTAACAGAACCGAGCGCGCCGAACACCACACCGAATTGCTCACACCCTCCACCTGTCGGTTCTGCTGTGACGCTAATTAGCTGCACGCAATACTAGCTAGCCAAAATGCTAAAAAAAAAAAAACAACGTGCAGCTCAACCGTCTCTCAGTTCCACAGTTCATGGAGCAAGAACAGAGTCATGTGATCAGAAACAGAGTCATGTGATCGGAGACGGAGTCATGTGATCGGAGACGGAGTCATGTGATCAGAGACTGAGTCATGTGATCAGAAACAGAGTCATGGGAGCGGAGACAGAGTCGTGATTGGAGTCATGTGATCGGAGACAGAGTCATGTGATCGGAGTCATGTGATCAGAGACTGAGTCTGTGATCGGAGTCATGTGAACAGAGACAGAGTCGTGTGATCGGAGTCATGTGATCAGAGACAGAGTC